TTCTCTAAATGTCTCGTGCTGGCCCTTCTAGTCATCCTCGACCCTCTGCGGGTGCTCGTGCTGTCAATCGTGAGCGACCACGTGATCCTTGGGTTGGCAAACAACTCAACTACGAGCTTTCCTTTCCGCTCACGGATGCCTTTGACATTCTACCCACTACTTTGTGGGCTATAGCCGAATTGACTAATCGGCGTCTGCAGCACATTTGCACGCCCCTTGCCAGGGTTGCCTACCCCCGTGTAGTGCGCCTCTTCTACCAGAATCTTCAATGCCCTGAAGAGCCACCCATTTCTCTCACTACATCCATTGATGGTACCACCTATGCATTCACTATGACTGACATCATTCAGGTTTCTGGTTGCCCCATTGAGTGCCCCGCTGACCTTTTGGACCCTACTGGCCATACGTTGTATGAGCAGGTCGATGATATGACTGTCGAGCAGGTAGTGGCCGCCTTTGGCAATGTTGACGTTCCTAATAGGCCCCGGTCTTTTATCCGCAAAACCAATCTTCCAGAACGCCTCTAGTTCATTGACACTATTTTCAAGCACAATGTCTGCCCTTTGGTGCATAGCACCAAGCGTAGGGGCCTCCTTTTGCAAGCCTTATATGCCATGGACCAAGGCCAATGGTTCTCCATCCCGGAGCTCATTTGGACAACATTTATGAAGTTTTGGCATGACGCTCATAATGCACAGGTTCTGCGAGTTGAAAATCGGAAATTTCCTTTGCCGTTTTTCATCACTCGGCTCCTAAAGCACAAGGGTTTCATTGTTCCTCCCCATGAACCAAAAGGCGAAAAGATTAAAAATTTTACCAAGCGCCGGTGGATCAATGTTCTTAGCCATTCTAGTACCCCTCAGCCTGCTGCCCCCTTGTTCATCCAAGCTCCTCCTCCTCCTCCTTCTGAGGATGCTTCCACGGCCGCAGCCGCTGCAAGGTTAGAGCCTCCGGTCGACTCTCAGCAGGACCAGGCTTTCATCCGGGCTAGCATTGCCGGTATTCATGAGCGGATGGATCGTTTTGAAAATTCTTTGTCCGCGTACACTCGGACTATGTGTGGGACTTCTTCCAGTACCGAAGAAAATCGTCGTCTTGCTGCTGAAGACCGCCATGTCGCAGCTGAGGAACGTCGTTTGGCTCAGGCCGACCGGCGTAAGACTCAGTCTCTCCTCCATTCCATCCTCGCCCGTTTTCCCTCTGGACCATAGCTGCTGCGAGTGTTGGACCTTATCTTTTTGTTTCATATGTACATATTTCTCTTGTATCTGTTGTTTTACTTTTGCACTGTAAGAATTTGCTATGTATAGGTTGCTCTAGTAGACATGATCCATGTACAGCTCTTTTTGTAATCATGTGAACTCTTTTTGAAATGCAAATTCTCTCTTTTCTGTTAACTTTATGTACATTATTTTTCTATATTTATGCTTGTATTTTTAATGCTTTTTCTAGTTGTCTCTTTTTGTTTTTCATGATACTATCTAGGTTGCGCGGTCCAATTCAAGTTTGGGGGTTCTTCTCACCATGCCGTTTCCTCCCCCTGGGTATTTTTGTTCCTTTTTATACTCTTTGTCATTTTTGTCTTTAACTTACATCCATGTCCCACATTGAGGACACTGTGTCGTTCAAGTTTGGGGGTGCATCAAAGCATTCTTGGCATAGTTTTGGTATCATATTTTTGTAAAGCAATGATAGTGTAACTTGGAACTTGTCGGAGACAAAGCATATGTTTAATACCTTATGTATAGAAGCAATTGAGAAATTTTTGAAAATAAAGAAATTTGAATTTGAAGTGATCCTGCAAATACAATGTAGTCTGTATAAATGCCTCAATTAGATTCTTACTGGATTTACACTCTTATAAGCTTCACAATGCACAGATGCACATTGGAAACTTAACTGTGAGGCATGCAACTTGATTGACCTTGATCTTGGCCTAGTTAATCTGATTTGTTGAACCTAATGGATGAATATCTTTGGCATGATATATTTTGATGAAAAAAAAATGAAGATGAGAAAGGAAGAAAATAATGACCAATTGAAGTTCGTAGCCTTTCCAACTCGAACTATTAAGCCCTATGGAGTGTCTCTACACTTAACACCCTAAAGCCGTCTGGTTTGGGAGTTGTTGGCCTAACGCTTGCTACATGGGTTGGTTAGAAAGCTTAAAAGACTTAAACATTGCATGGTCATTCAAAAAAACTATGTGTAATAAACATGGTTTGTTGGAATTCGTAGCCTTTCCAACTTGAGCTATTAAGCCCTAGGAGTGTCTTTACACTTAGCACCCTAAAGCCGTCTGGTTTGGGAGTTGTTGGCCTAACGCTCGCTACATAGGTTGGTTAGAAAGCTTAAAGGATTTCAACACTGCACAACCATTTTATGTTTCACTTTTGAGTTATAATAAATTGTTAACAGGCAACAAAAGTTGTCTTGAAAATAAAATCATGCCTTAGGGACTTCATGTAAAGGGGAATGCATTGATTTGAAAACTTGTGCCTTGGAATTGGAAAAGAAAGTAAAAGTCGCATGTTGAGAATTCAATTCACTTTTACTGGAATTTGAGTTATTTCCATTTAAGAGATGACAATTGAATTATTTATATGGACTATGATGTTGATGCATGCATGTTGAAATAGTTTTTGCCAATTTTTGTATCAATGCTTCATATATGCAAGGTAGTCTTCCCAATGATCCCGTCTCCAGCTCTTTATCTGTTTCCAGTTGTATTTGAGCTATGTTTATGTTTATTTTTGCCATGGTGGATATTTTTGTAATAGCATTCCCATGTTTTTCATTCCATTGAGCTTTGCATTTTGGTTTTGCTAAGGGACTAGCAAAATGTAAGTTTGGGGGTGTGATAAGCGCCGAATCCTGTATATTCAAGCACCCTAAATTACATTAACAAAGTCCATTAATTGATTATTTTACGTAGATTATCTCCATTTGCATGTTTTTGTACATTTTCAGGTTAAATTGCAAAAAGGAAGCAAAAATGATGCCTTGTGGAATTTTGAACAAAAAGGGTGTCAATTCTAAAATTCTGGCAGCAGTAGAACCTGACTTTTGTCACCATTTTTGACCTAGCAAACTCAAGAACTGGACTTCCATCATAACATGAAAGATTTAGAGCTCTGAATCAGCTTTCCAAATCTTCAAGCGGTTCATCATTCGGAGTTCGGAGCAGAGAGTTATGATCTTCTTACCAGAGGTGCGCAGAACTGCCTGGCAGCACTGAAGTGCTGCCTTTCTCCCCATTTTCGACCAACCAGACTTGAGAATTGGGTCTTCATCAAAACATGAAGTTTTTAAATCTCTGAATCAGCTCTCCAAATCTTCAAACAGATCATCATTCAGAGTTCGGAGCACAAAGTTATGGTCATTCTTCCACAGTGGGTCAGAGATGGGCAAGAATTGCATGTTGCTCATTACACTAATTTCGAGTGCTCGAGACCACCCTTCGAGTGCTCGAAATTCTGGCAGATTGCACTCGGAAATGGCTCAATTTCAGCCACTTGCACATTGGTTTCCTTAATGCCATCTTCCTTCTTTATGAAGTGGTTGGAGGTGTTCCTTGGAGGAGAGAGAGCCTTGACTTAAGCTTGATAAGAGAGAGAGGGAGGACCACATAGATGTTATCATTCATTCTTACAAGATTAGAGGAGAGAGAAGAGAGCAAGGAAGAGAGTGTTCTTGAGTGCTACAGTAGAGCTCGAAAATGAAGTTGTATTCTTCGTCTTCTTCTTCCATTTTTATATCAATGGAGAGCTAAACCTCCATCTAGGGAGGTGATGAAGCCTCCTCTTTTGATCATGTTCTAGATTAGGCTATACTTTTGGGGACTATAATATATAATGTATGGTAGTTTCATAGTCTAAGAGTATATTCCTTCTTGTAATGATTTTTAATGTGTAAATGGTTGATGTAAGTTCATTGTTATATCTTTGATGATTCTTGGATCAATCTTATTGCTTTTATTTTCATAGTGACAATGAAAATATAGACTATGAATGTTTTTCAAGGCATGTTGATTTTGAAACTTGATATTCCATTGCTTAGGTACCTCCTTTGATGGTTTATACTTGATTCTTACCTTCATGTGCTTCACCATTTGATTAAAAGCTTGATGGTCTTTTGCTTGAGATAGTGTATTTGATTCTACACCTTAGTTTAAGTAGTTTAACTATGGTAGCTTTTGATGGATCATTCTTGTTTTGATTAAGTGAACTTCTTGATGATTATTAAGCAACGGAGTTGCTTCATATTTCTTGACCATTGCATATATGCTACTTATCCCCAAATTTAGACCTAATCTAGCATGTACTTAGGGTGTAGTGTGGATTCATCTCCCTAGTCTTTTCTACTTGTATCTCACTTCTTCAATTTCATTGCAATCTATTGTTTTATGCATTTTAATTTCTTAGTTTAGTGACAAACACACAAACCCTTTATAAACCCCTCATCACTCTAAAATGACTTTAGATACTTAGGTTGCCTTAAGACTAGCGCAGTTCCAGTGGTTCGACTTACCCGTCCAATAGCCCTATTTTACAATGATTCGTGCTATTGCGAAGGTTGATGTTTAATTGACCAACCGATCACTTACAAGCTCAAATCAATTAGGCTACAAATCAAGACAACCTCCATCTAATCATTTCCCACTTCTCATCTTTTTATTGCTTTTGCAACTTCTTTTCTTTTCTTTTCTTTTCTTTTCTTTTTTTTTTTTTTTTCAAATTATTAACCTAGAGTTTGGACCCTCCACCTTTCGGCGCGAGAAATTTAGTGCTTAATGAGGCTAGAATCTCAGCTACTTAGTGAAAAGGGGTTGTTATCCACCTTTATCAAAATGAAAGCTTTCGTCACGCCCCTAGACCGTCGTTCGGATTGTGAACACAACACACAAACAATCACAGTTTCAAAATTAATAAATATCCTTATAACTTATTTCCACTACACATCCACCAATCTATTTCCCTTTACAAAATCAAGACTGGAAATAAATAGATAAGATGCACATATTACAACATTAAAGTTTTAAAGTCCGAAATAACATTTATTACATGCCAGAAATACTCTTAAAAATATATAATACAAAACATAGTCTATTATACAGAATAAAACACAACAACACCAGCCCAGACTCTGTCTACAGCTGAGGAAGAACACCCTCCACACCATCTATGCTATGACTTGAAAAGATTTGAATAAAATAGGAATGAACAACCACAGCTCAGTAGGAATTGCCTAAAGCGCACTCCTTAATACCTCCGTGAATCCAAACAAAGAACAGATAAAAGATAAAGGAGTCATACAGGCTCGGGAAAGCAACATATTATATGAGATAATAAAATGAAGTGTCATGCAATGCCAATGCCAATACTAATGTCACTGACACCTCTCACTTCCCAAAATCCCATTTCCATCACAAAAAATTAATGTAATCCGCCCAAGGCTGCTCCCCAGTACCACGAGAAGAGAGTTACTAATCTATCCCTGATACAAGGCCACTCCTTGTGATCATTTTGGGGCTCTAGTGACACAACGTCTCCTTTAGATTCCCATTAACTGCACAGATAAGGCAACTCCTTGTCCGGTTTTAAAATCATTGATTCAATTCCCTAACTCACGGATACAAGGCACCTCCCTGTAATCAGGCTTTCAAAACCATTTTAATGAGATGCTTTCACTTTCTTTTCCATTCTAACCTTAACACGTGACCATGCAAGATGAATGCACAATTGTGTCATGTCCCAAAGTTTCCAAAACAACAAATCAATTTATACGCAGCATGTTACTTCTGTCTTTGAAAATTCATAACAAATTCAATTCTAAGTCAAATTGAGTGATTCCAAAGCCTAATGAAAGCTTAAACAATGTAATTTGAGAGTGTCAATTTAGTTTAACAAAATTCCTTCCCAGTTGGAACAGTTTTGATCCACAAATTCGAAATAAAAATCTGTCAGAAACTGATTTCCAGCCTGTAGCTTCCATCTTCAAAAATTCATAGTAAATTCAATTTTCGTCCAAATTGAGTGAATCCAAAGGCCACTGAAAGTTCAAAGACTATATTTTCAAGATAAAATTTTATTTCACCAAAATACCTTACCATTTAAAGCAGGTTTGATAAGAAAGACTCGGACAGAAACTGCCCCAACCCAGAATTTCCAGCAAGAACATTCTAACTTCAAAAATTCATAATAAATTCATTTCACAACCAATTTAAGTGAAACCAATTCTCAATGAAAGCTAATTAACTATATTATCATAATATCAAATCATCTCTAAAAGATAAATTACGAATTTACATGATTTTGAGCAAAACAGTAGCAAGGAATTAAGTCTCAGCAGCACAGAATTTCAGTTTTGTTTGTATACATTTTGCAACTAAAAATTTGAAAGAAATCAACTCACTAAATGCAAAGGAATTGAGGGTTATACAATCCTACCTCAAGAGAAGCTTGAACACTTGCTAAACAATTCAAAACCACACCAAAAATGGATCAAAATCAACAACTAGAAGGTGAAGAACACTTTCCTTTATAAAATACACCCACACCTCTTCTTTCAACACCCTTTTTGACAGCCCAGAATTAATAAACTGTGCACAACTCTTAACCACAAGGAAGCTCTCTCTCCCTTAGGAACCTCTTTCATTCACACACCCCTCTCAAATTCCTAACAAAAAGACCTCAAATGGAGCAATATAAAGTGACTATAAAGAAGAAGCCAAATGCACGAAATTGGTTTCTGCTGAATTGTTTTTATGTCTATCCCCCTCAATGCAATACACAAGTCATCACACACACACACAATATGTGGCCATGTGAACCCCCATGTGTCAAGCTCACAATTAGTCAAATGCAAGACCAAGCAAAATGACCAAAAAGTCCTCCCATTATTTCTAAATGTCAATTATGCCATTTGCCTAATAAAGTCAACTTTGCCCTTTGTAAAATAATTAAATAGCATATATGCCATTTGTAAAACAAAAAGTCCATAATGTCCTTTATGAAATAAACAAATGACATTTAATTAAAATTAAACACATTTGCAAAATAAATCATAATTTTCGACAATAAAATAAAATGCATGAATGCCAACATGTCCGGAAAATGATAAAAATGCAAGTCCTCACATTCTCCCCAACATACAAGGATTTTGTCCCCGAAATGAAGTCATACCTGGGAAAGAAAACAAACTCGGATACGCAGAACAAACATCCTGTTCCCGTTCCCACGTAGCCTCCTCAACACCGTGATGTCGCCATAAAACCTTCACGAGAGTCACTGTTTTACCCCTTAACACTTTGTCCCGAGTGTCAAGAATCTGAACGGGTCCCTCCTCGTAAGAAACATCCTCATCAATGTCAATATCAACCCAACTCAATACATGAGATGGATCCAGCTCATATTTCCATAGCATCGAAACTTGAAACACATTATGGACCCTGTCCATCTATGGTGGCAATGCCAATCTATAAGTAACCTCGCCCACTCGATCCAAAATCTCAAATGGCCGAATGAAACGAGGTGATAACTTGCCACTCTTTCCAAACCGTAGCAATCCTTTTCGTGGAGAAACATTAAGAAACACGTGGTCTCCCACCTCAAAGGATAATGGTTGTCTCCATCTATCTGAGTAACTTTTTTGTCGGCTCTGAGCAGTCAACAACCAAAGCATATCTTCCAAGGCGGCTGTCTCCAAAACAATGTCTGGCCCTAAGGCGGCTGTCTCACCCACCTCAGTCCAACAAACAGGAGAACGACAAGGCTTACTATACAATGCCTCAAAAGGAGCCATCTCAATGCTCGACTGATAGCTATTGTTGTAGGCAAACTCAACAAGAGGTAAGTGGTCCTCCCAACTACCACCAAAATCAAGCACACAGGCCCGAAGCATATCTTCCAAGATCTGGATAGTACTGAAATGCAACGGTGAACCAAACACTGCATGAAGCCCTTCCCAGATCTTCGATGTGAACTTGGCATCCCTGTCCGAGACAATGGACAATGGAACCCCATGCAATCTGACGATCTCTCTGATATACAATCTGCCAAGTACCTCAGCAGAATCTGTAGCCTTAACAGGCAAAAAATGAGCGGTCTTAGTCAATCTATCAATAATGACCCAAACAGACTCATTACCCCTCTGTGACCTTGGAAGTCCTGTCACAAAATCCATAGCAATACACTCCCATTTCCATTGTGCTACTGGCAATGGCAACAACAAACCAACAGGTCTCTGATACTCTGCCTTTACTTACTGACAGGTAAGACATTTGGCAAAAAACTGAGCTACATCTGCCTCTATCCCATTCCACCAATACTGGTGTTTTAAATTATGATACATTTTAGTACCACCTGGATGAACAGTAAAACGAGAAGTGTGAAACTCCCGTAATACCTCCTCTCGACAAACTGTAGGAACTGTAATCAAACCTCTGAACCGTAAACCACCATCCGTGTGCAAGGTCCAGTCTTTCACTGTATCCCAACCTAAAATCAACTGATGAATGGCAGCTAAATCTGAATCATGTCTCTGTGACTCAATTACCCGTGTAACAAGAGTAGGTTTAACCACAAGACTAAACAGAAAAGCTGACTCATAACCAACACTGTCATCATAACATTGTAATCCCATCTCTGTTAGATCCTCTAACATCTTCCATTTTCGAATGGCTAACCCAGCCAAAACTTCACGAGACTTCCGGCTTAAGGCATCTGCTACCACATTCGCCTTACCCGGATGATACTGCAAATCAAAATCATAGTCTTCCAAATATTCAACCCATCACCTCTGCCTGTTATTCAAGTCCTTCTGAGAGAAAAGGTACTTGAGACTTTTGTGATTTGAGAACACCTCGAATCTCTCACCATACAAATAATGCCTCCAGCTTTTCAAAGCAAAAACAACTGTTGCTAACTCCAAGTCATGAGTGGGATAGTTAAGCTCGTGAATCTTCAATTGTCTAGATCCATAAGCCACTACCTTGCCACCCTGCATCAACACACAACCCAAACCATCCCGAGAAGCATCACAAAAGACAACATAACCCAAGCCACGCTTAGGTATCACCAATACTGGAGCTGTAGTCAATCTCATTTTCAATTCCTGAAAAGATGACTCACAAGCTTCAGTCCAATCAAATCTGATCCCCTTTCGGGTCATCCGAGTCATAGGAGCGGCTAAGCAAGAAAAGTCCCTCACAAACCTGCGGTAATAACCCGCTAAGCCAAGAAAACTCCGAATCTCATACATATTTTTCAAATGTTCCCAATCCAGAACTGCTTCTATCTTCGAAGGATCAACTGAAACCCCACTGCTTGAAACAACATGTCCTAAAAACTTCACCTCTTGGAGCCAAAATTCACACTTTGAATACTTGGCATACAAATGGTGTTCTCTTAGCATCTGTAACACTATCCTCAGATGAATCTCGTGATCCTCCCGAGATAGTGAATACACAAGAATGTCATCCACAAACACTACCACAAATTGATCCAGATATTTGTGAAAGATACGGTGCATTAGGTCCATGAATGCCGCTGGCGCATTCGTCAACCCAAAAGGCATCACAATGAACTCATAATGACCATACCGCGTATGAAAAGCTATCTTCGGAATATCCTCATCCCGAACTCATAACTGGTAGTAACCAGATCTCAGATCAATCTTAGAAAAACAAATAGGTCCCCTCAACTGATCAAACAAATCATCAATCCGCAGTAAAGGATACTTGTTCTTGATGGTTGCATGATTCAATTTTTGATAATCAATGCATAACCTCATAAAACCATCATTTTTCTTTGCGAACAACACTAGCGTGTCCCATAGTGAAACACTAGGCCGAATAAAACCCTTCAGCCTTAAGTCATCTAACTGCTTCTTTAATTCCTCCAGCTCTACTGGTGCCATACGATACGGAGCCATAGAAATCGGCGCAGTAGCAGGCATCAAGTCAATCACAAACTCAACCTCTCTTCTGGGAGGTAGATCCGGTAAGTCATCCGGAAACACATCCAAGAAGTCACAAACAACTGACGGATAAACTGTCCCCATATCACCATCTTCTTCAGCTAAAATGTTAGCTAAAAAGAAAGCACAACGGTCCCGACCACGAACACCATAACAAGCTGAAACTAGGGAATCACCCCGATCTCCCACAAACACAAAACAATCTCCCTCCGGCGTACACACTAAAACTCTACCACAGAAGCAATCAATCGTGGCACAAAATGATGATAACTAATCCATCCCAAGAATGACGTCAAACCCTGTCATCTTAAGAAGGATAAGATCAAAAACCAAAGTCCGCCCAGTAATCACAATGGTGCAATCCCGCACCACTCTGCTCACAACCAATGAACCACTGACCGGCGTATCAACACACAACACTCGGTTCATAAAACCAACCTCCAATCCCGATACAAGTGCAAATGTGCATAAAAAGAATGAATGAGATGCACCAGAATCAAACAAAATACGAGCCCAAGATCCAAATACTGGAAACATACCCCTCACTACTGACGGTCCCGAAGATGACTCAGGAAGTGCATACACTCTGCCCTGGGATGCCTGAGCCTGTGAACCTCCAGCTTAAACCCCAGACTACTGACTAGATCCTTGTGAAGACATGGCTGCCTGTGGTGGTCTAAACCCAGACTGTACTGCAGTAGACTGAGATGGTCTCTGTTGTGTACCACGACCACTACTAGAACCTCTGCCTGAGCCACCAGTCCTCCTCGGACAGTCTCTAACCCTGTGGCCCCGCTGTCCACATTCAAAGCAAGCTCCTGTAGAAAAAGACTGCGGACAATCAGACACATAATGGCCAGGTTGCTGACATCCGAAACATATGACCTCACTCCTACCTGCTCCTGATGGTATAGAAGTAGAAGGAGTAGGTCAGCCTAACTGTTGTCCTCCAGACCTAGATGAACTCCATCTCTGCCTCTTGCTAGACTGACCTGAACCACTAGTTAATCTTTGATTCCATTGCTCCCGAGTCTGATTTTTATCATTCAACTTAGCTTCAACAATCAATGCCCTTTCTATAGCCTCAGTATAAATCTATAGGCACTGTGCTGCCATAAAAGTCCTAATCCGATAATGAAGTCCCTCTACAAACTTGTGGACTTTATCTAATTCCTTACTTACAATTTCCGGAGCAAAACGAGAAAGAGAAGTGAATCTATTCTCGTAATCTATCACTGTCATAGAACTATTCTGAAATAGAGAGATAAACTCCATGTGCAGCTCCCATCTTGTAGTCGCAGGAAAGAACTTATTGTAAAATAACTCTTTGTAAGCATCCCACGACAATGTCTTTATGTCCATTCTGTTAGACACTGACTTCCCCCACAATTTGGCATCCCTAGTAAAGTTGTAGGTAGCCAACAGAATTTTCACATAATCATTTTCAACTGCCAGAGCATCAATATGCTTTTCCACCTGATCAAACCAATCATCCGCCAACAACGGATCAGTCCCACCCTCAAACAATACAGGCATGAGTCTGACAAATGTGGAGATAAGTTTGAGACATCTTTTTGTCTCATCTTCCCCTGCAGACATCACTGGTGGTGGTAAACCTCCCTGTCCCACATGGTGAAATGCAGAACTCTCCCCAGACCGTCCAACTATAGGCCCAATCTCTTGGCCTCTCGGTGCCCTGACCTTTTTACGAGGCGGCATACTATAATGAAATGCAAGTCAATAACAATGTCACTATCCCTTAGGATAAGTTGCTAAAACAAACGGACCATAATATGAGTGTTTCACTGTCCCAAACTAACTCATAGGAATAAAAGCCTTTAAACACATAGCATGCTTTATCATGATCAGATAAACATGTACTCACATATACACATAAGCACGCTTACAAGGCAAATGACAGATAAACATGTGAGCACATAAGACACTGCAAACCCCTACACACAGCTGTAGACAGACCTCTACCCGTCATCCTTAGGTTATAGGAACCATCCTCTGATACCACTTCTGTCACGCCACTAGACCGTCGTCTGGATTGTGAACACAACACACAAACAATCACAGTCTCAAAATTAATAAATATCCTTGTAACTTGTTTCCACTACACATCCACCTATCTATTTCCCTTTACAAAATCAAGACTGAAAATAAATAGATAAGATGCACATATTACAACATTAAAGTTTTAAAACTCGAAATAACATTTATTACATGCCAAAAATACTCTAAAAAAAAATATAATACAAAACATAGTCTATTATACAGAATAAAACACAACAACACCAGCCCCGACTCTGTCTACAGCTGAGGAGGAACACCCTCCACACCATCCATGCTATGACCTGAAAAGATTTGAATAAAATAGGAATGAGTGCCTAAAGCGCGCTCCTTAATACCTCTGTGAATCCAAACAAAGAACGGATAAAAAATAAAGGGGTCATACAGGCTCGGGAAAGTAACATATCATATGAGATAATAAAATGAAGTGTCATGCAATGCCAATGCCAATGTTAATGTCACTGACACCTCTCACTTCCCAAAATCCCATTTCCATCACAAAAAATTAATGCAATCCGCCCAGGGCTGCTCCCCAGTACCACGAGAAGAGAGTTAGTCATCTATCCCTGATACAAGGCCACTCCTTATGATCATTTTGGGGCTCTAGTGACACAACTACGCGTAGAGCCACTCCCTACGTCTCCTCTGGATTCCCATTAACTGCACAGACGAGGCAACTCCTTGTCCGGTTTTAAAATCATTGATTCAATTCCCTAACCCACGGATACAAGGCACCTCCCTGTAATTAGGTTTTCAAAACCATTTTAATGAGATGCTCTCACTTCCTTTTCCATTCTAACCTTAACCCCATGACCATGCAAGATGACTGCACAATTGTGTCATGTCCCAAAGTTTCCAAAACAACAAATCAGTTTATACGCAGCATGTTACTTCCGTCTTTGAAAATTCATAACAAATTCAATTCTAAGTCAAATTTAGTGATTCCAAAGCCTAATGAAAGCTTAAACAATGTACTTTGAGAGTGTCAATTTAGTTTAACAAAATCCCTTCCCAATTGGAACAGTTTTGATCCACAAATTCGAAATAAAAATCTGTCAGAAACTGATTTCCAGCCTGTAGCTTCTATCTTCAAAAATTCATAGTAAATTCAATTTTCATCCAAATTGAGTGAATCCAAAGGCCACTGAAATTTCAAAGACTATATTTTCAAGATAAAATTTTATTTTACCAAAATACCTTACCATTTAAAGCAGGTTTGATAAGAAAGACTCAGATAGAAACTGCCCCAACCCAGAATTTCCAACAAGAACATTCTAACTTCAAAAATTCATAATAAATTCATTTCTCAACCAATTTAAGTGAAACCAATTCTCAATGAAAGTTAATTGACTATATTATCATAATATCAAATCATCTCTAAAAGATAAATTATGAATTTACATGATTTTGAGCAAAACAGTAGCATGTAATTAAGTCTCAGTAGCACAGAATTTCAGTTTTGTTTGTATACATTTTGCAACTAAAAATTTGAAAGAAATCAACTCACTAAAGGCAAAGGAATTGAGGGTTAGACAATCCTACCTCAAGGGAAGCTTGAACACTTGCTAAACAATTCAAAACCGCACCAAAAATGGATCAAAATCTGCAACTAGAAGGTGAAGAACACTTTCCTTTATAAAATACACCCGCACCTCTTCTCTCGACACCCTTTTTGACAGCCCAAAATTAATAAACTGTGCACAACTCTTAACCACAAGGAAGCTCTCTCTCCCTTAGGAACCTTTTTCATTCACACACACCTCTCAAATTCCTAACACAAAGACCTCAAATGGAGCAATATAAAAGTGACTATAAAGAAGAAGCCAAATGCACGAAATTGGTTTCTGCTGAATTGTTTTTATGTCTATCCCCCCTCAATGCAATACACAAGTCATCACACACACACACAATATGTGGCCATGTGAACCCCCATGTGTTAAGCTCACAATTAGTCAAATGCAAGACCAAGCAAAATGACCAAAAAGTCCTCCCATTATTTCTAAATGTCAATTATGTCATTTGCCTAATAAAATTCAACTTTGCCCTTTGTAAAATAATTAAATAGCATATATGCCATTTGTAAAACAAAAAGTCCATAATACCCTTTATGAAATAAACAAATGACATTTAATTAAAATTAAACACATTTGCAAAATAAATTATAATTTTCGACAATAAAATAAAATGTATGAATGCCAACACGTCCGGAAAATGATAAAAATGCAAGTCCTCACAGCTTTCAATGCACTACTAGCCCAATTGAGATATAACCAATTCAATAATCAACAAAGCATGTACCACACAAATGAATGCTAGTGTGCGCCTGTGCTAATGTAGAATACTAGAGTGAATCTCAAAAAATCACAAAATTAGGATGATGTGGACCACAAGTGCAAGCATGATATCAATCTTTCGAAAAATTTACCTCTAAATGGCATCCACAAGGCATACAAGAAGTATTGGACTCTCAAGTCAAGCAATTTTTAAATTTTAAGAAATATAGTCCTCAGAAGATCAAAATCATCGCTAACATGGATCTCTGATCTCAATCATGCAATTAAAGTTCAACTTAAGTAGAATGCAACAAAGACACCTTACCCCCAAACTTAAACCGCACATTGTCCTCAATGTGTAATGAGAACAATGAAAATGACGGAAAGAGTATACCATGATGGCAAAGACATGAAGCCTGGCAATAACCTAATTCGAAAGACGTCTCCCCCAAACTTGGAATCAACAGCCTACTTGAATAACCACACTAGCAAATTCACATCAAATCTCAAATGGGATAAGAATGATCAAATCATGAATTTTAAAGCAATACAACACAAGATGAAAGAGAGATATGAGATCAAGCCCGATAGAAAAGTAGCATGACTACACATAAGGGCACAAGAGAGAAATATATATATATATATATATATATATATATATATATATATATATATTTATATATATTTGAATAAACACAAAGAAATTCAAGAAAGTATGAACAATGATTGCTAAGTTTAACGTCTCTAGCTAGACGTAATGCTGCTTTGAATAAATAAGCTTAAAATTCAAAAAGGGAAGAAAAAGGTCAAACCAAAGATGCTCAGATCGATCAAGGGCAGATCGATCTCAGAAACTTTTTCGGTCAATCGAACATGCATAAACTTGCAGACATATTCGAACAATGAGACAGAGAGGTCTTTGGATGCAAGCTCAAAATTTTATAAGTGTTAAGACTGCAGATCGATCCAAGATAAAGTTGGATCGATCGAAGAACTAAAGATCGATCTAGGAACAAGTTCGAACGATGGGGCAGAGAGCTGAAATATGCAGGTTTCCTTCGAACTCCACCCTTCTCCTCTCATTTAAACCTCCTTCCCTTTGTTATAAAGTTATAGTGCCTTCGCGTTTTGTGTTTGTCTTGACTACACGCTTCTTTCCCCCTTATTAGAACCCGTTTTTGGCCAATTTTTGAGTTCGGGTTTGAGGTCAAGTTAGGATTTTGGTAGGTCCTCTTTGGAGTTTAATGTTCACGGCGTTGTCCCCGACAAAACCTCAAAGTATTGTCGGATTCGGAGCCGTTTCATTTTGGTGGCTTTTGAGATTTTCATCTCAAATTGAGGTAGGGGATGTTTTAGGATTATATATGTGTTGTATTGAGTGTTTCCCATAATTATACATCTTGTATGCATGCTTTTGTTCATAATCTAGAATTTAATTGAGTTATTTTCTATGTTTAAAATTTAATTCTCATGATGATATTCAATTTAGAATTAAATTGTGGCATGCTAGTAAATTAGGCTTTGGTATGTTTGTTAATATATATTAAATTGGAAGTATTTGATAAAGAACTGCACTTTTTATTTAATAATTATTTTTTGTGAAAGTTTAATTATCATGGACGTACCTTGCATGGAATTAACTTATGATAGGCTATTTAATTAAGTCTTGGCATGTTCTTTAACATACTTTAATTTGAGAGCATTTGGATGAGTATGAAAATTTAGAGATTTTAATTAAAATAATTAATTAAAATCTATTTTAAAGATCTATTGGTTTAATTAAGTTTTTAACTTGAAATTTGTGATGATTAGGGCTTGTATACTAGCATATGTTAATTTGGGACCATTTGACGTTGTTTTAGAATTTAGGGATTTGACTATCATGGTTTAATTAAATTCCATCTTATTGTTTTAATGGCCTAATTAAGTTTTTGAATTGGTATATGCAATGACTATGTTATGTTGTTTAACATTTGTTAATTAGGGACCATTTCGTTGAGATTTGAAATTTAGAGAAATTAATTAATTTACTTGATCAATTTTCGTTTCTATAGCATTATTGATTTAATCATGAATTTGGCATTGGAAGTATATTTAAATCATGATTTTGGACTTGTATTAGATTCTTCTGTTTATGTTTTCAATATTGAATTATATTGTTATAGCATGCAACGAATCGCACACTGAAGATTCGACATGTGATGTTATTATAGCACGTAACGAATCGCGCTCTGAAGATTCGACATTTGTCATCCTATAGTAGTTGTGGATTTAGAGCATGAGCTGTGTGGTTACAACCTACTTGTGCATGGAATGTAGTTTCGTGCTTTATATATATTTCGTATATAAGTTATAAACTTATTTATTTTGGAGTCACTTGGGACATTGTTACTACGATATGGCTAGAGTTTGGCTCTAGTGCGGGAGGTATGAGTTCTCCCCATCAAGATAGTGCGCACTAGGGGTGGTATTACCAACGGGTTAGTGCCCGTAATAGCCGTTGAGGTCTCGGCAGAATTCCGAGCTTAGATGTCCAAATATTTCACTATTTGATTTCGCACTTTTAGATTTCTAGTTGATAACCTAGAGAATCTATGTCTTATTGTGTGGTATTAGAAATTCTAATTATACTAAATTGCTATATTTAGTTGATTTCGCACTTTTAGATTTCAAGTTGATAACTTTGAGAATCTATATCTTGTTGCTTTGTATAGCATGCTTCTATGTTAGTTAAATTGCATAGATATTGTGATTCGTGTTTTATTGTTCAAATGTGACTTAGGAATGATCTTATAGATTCATTTGGAACATAGACGTTAGGAGGCATGACCAACCTTTGTCATTTTTGTATATTAGATTTCAAGTTGATGACTTTGAGAATCTATATCATGTTGCTTTGTATAGCATGCTCCTATGTTGTTTGAATTGCATGGATGATGTGATTTGTGCTAGAAATGATCTAGAGTAGCTTAGGATACTCCCTGAGTCTCATCTTGACATAGACGTTAGATGGCATGAGCATGCGAATCGTACTATTGATCACCGATGTCCCCCAATCGGAGACGCTCGGCCTTCGCTGCCGTTTCGTACCAACGTTCTCTTATGAAGTCACCATCAAATTAGTTCCGCTGTTAATCTGACCCTCTGGTGGTTGTAAAAGATCCGCCATCCGATTCTTACACTGTTCGGGGAATGATATATATATATATATATATGTTTAAGTGAAAAAAAGAAAATCTAACGATGAGGTCAAGGAATGGCTTTTTTTGTACTCTTCTTAACGTCATCCAATGGGGGTATAATTAGTATTTTATAATTAGGCTTTATATATATATATATATATATATATATATATATATATATATAATGTAATAAGTAAGGTTATTTCGGTCATTTTAAATCAACATATGCCGAAAAAGTTGATCCGGTGAGTCTCATGAGGGGTATCTGCACCCTTTGGTACTTTAGGGGAGTATTTGTAAAAAACTGAATAGTTCAGGGGTTTTTTTGCACTTTTGCCAAAAAAAAAAAAAAAAATTAGGGTCAAACACTTCAACGGTACACGTGTCTGGCGTACGAGAACAATAATCGGACGGCTCGTAGCGCTTTCTCCTTCCTTTTTTTCCCGCCAAAACCCTCTTCGGTGTCTTCATTTGCCGCCAAATCCTGAAGCCCTCTTCTTCATTCTCCTCGTTTGCCGCCAGATCTCAAAGCCTTCTTTCACCCTCCAACTCCCTCTCTCTCCCCTCCCTCCGTGAAGACGAAACCATGAAGGACCTCGATTTCAATCGAGACAAAGGTATGCTTTTCTTACTCTCTCTCTCTATATAATACCCATTACCCTTACCGGATTGATGCTTTGATGCAGTTATCGCGAAAGAATTTCTTTTGAACTTTGCGGACGTAAATGGCGAGGCCAAGTACATCAACATCCTTGTAAGTTCCTCTCATTGAATCCTTAAGCAGGTCAAAAACCCTATGTACTCCATTTGATTTCCTTATAAATTATAGGCAAAATGAAAATTGAACTCTTGAAATTTTAGCAAAAATAACATTAAACAAATATAAATTGCAACAATATATGTGTATGTATGTGTATATCTTTTTTCCTTAGTTTTCTCAATTGAGAATAAAATTTTATCTCTTTCTAGAATAGAAAATGTTATTATACTCTCTAACGATTGCCCTAGTTCTTCATTTTCATCTCAGCAAGATGTTGCGAATCATAAATCTAAGGCAATACAGATCGATCTTGAAGACCTAGTTAATGTAAAGTTTCAATATCCTTCACCTTCTAGTGACTTTTCTTTTACTTTTATACTCCAATAACCTAATTTTGCCTATGTCCCATCAGTATAAGGATTTGGATGAAGATTTTATCGGACGAGTCAGTGATAATACACGGCGATACATCAGCATTTTCGCTGATGCGATTGATGAGCTCATGCCGGAGTCAACAGAGGCATTTCCTGATGATGATCATGATATCTTGATGACACAGAGGTCTGAGGAAGGAACAGAGAATGCGGATGGTTCAGATCCACGGCAGAGAATGCCTCCGGAAATTAAGCGCTTCTAGTAAGCTTCAAGAATAATCCTTTTCCTCATTTTATGATATATGTATTGACATTGTTAAATCATTTTACTTGGTTGTTGGACGAAGAACTGTTTTGGTTTATGTAACCTTTAATTTTTTTTTATTTTTCCATATCTGAATACCAAAGTTGTAATAACTTGAGCATGGTATAGTCTCCTTACATTGGTTATTGTTGAAACCAGTGAAGTATATATTCGAGCATCTTCAAAGGGGCGTCCATTCACTATTCGAGAGGTTAAGGCTTCCTATATTGGCCAGCTTGTAAGGATCTCTGGTATTGTGACTAGGTGTTCGGATGTAAAGCCATTAATGCAGGTAGCTGTGTATACATGTGAAGAATGTGGTTTTGAAATTTACCAGGTAAACGAATAGGAATCCTATTTAAGTTCATTTCAAACCTGTCTCTGCAATTTTATAAAGTAATTGTCATAACTTTATTGAAGTTTCTCTTATGTCTAGCTCTTTTGTCACCTTTCTAATTGAAACCACATATATTTATTTCAATTGCTTATAAGTCCAATAGGAAAAGAATGAAAGTTGGACCTTTATCATAGCCACTCCAACCCTAAAATGCTTTAGAATTCCATGCTTTCATTTGATTTTCGTCTTTGAATTTGAACAGAACATTTTGATCTTAAAAATGGCACCTCAGTTATTTATTTATTTATTTATTCACTTTTTTGGTAATATGATTGACATATTATGATACAAACAGGAGGTAACTGCTCGAGTTTTCATGCCTCTCTTTGAGTGCCCATCCAAGCGCTGTAAAATCAATGCTACAAAAGGGAACCTCATCCTTCAACTCAGAGCATCAAAGTTTTTGAAGTTTCAGGAGGTTCTTTTTTCTTTACTGACCATGTTGACAGTCATTAGTTAGTGGGAGTGATTTGAGATGATTGTTCCTATTGAACAGTTTGTTTTCAATTTATCCTCTTATATGATATGTCCTTGAATGTGATTTAATTGCAGGCCAAGATTCAGGAATTAGCTGAGCATGTTCCTAAAGGCCATATTCCGCGGACAATGACTGTTCATTTCAGGGGAGAACTTACAAGAAAGGTTGTTCTTTCTTATGTCAGTCTTTGCAAATTTTATGAGGAACTCTTATCAAATTAAATTTATTTTCGTCTTTTTTAGTCTAGGAAGACAACTTTCAACCTCACTATCTGATGATTATGCATAGATTTTAAAATATGGATTACACACGGATAGTGGTCATAGAACTTTGGATGATAGTTGATACGACCCCTTTTTATGCCAGTACAATTGGCATGAGAGGTCTGTTTTTATTGTGTTCAAACTGAACCCCCGTGTTTCATTTATAAAATCTGTTGCAATTGGTATGAGAGGACTGTTTCTATTACATTCAAAATGAACCTGTGTTTCATTTGTAAAATCTATTGTGCAAATTGTTGTGGATAAGTTTTAAATCTCGACTTCATTCCCTGCTTAGGATGGAAGGAATTTCATTCTCTGTCAAAATTTGCCTTGTGTAGATGCTCTCTATATGCTGTTAACTAACTTATGTCTGCATATGTGATTTATTATTTGTTTTTTTCTAAAAACTGTCAGGTAGCTCCAGGTGACATTGTTGAGCTATCAGGGATTTTTCTCCCAATGCCCTACGCTGGATTTAGAGCAATGCGAGCTGGCTTGGTTGCAGATACATACCTGGAGGCCATGTCTGTCTCCCATTTTAAGAAAAGATATGAGGAGTAAGCCATTTTCCGGTTCTAAATGATCCTAAAGCACTTTTACCCAAGAAATGACCAATATACCAGTTGCACCCATTTCTGCTAATTCTTAATTGTGTTAAATTCTTCAACTGGTTGTTTCAAATCTAATAGTTCTTTGTTAGTTTCCCTCCTTCCTATTTAACCCGAACATCTTCTCCCCTATGCTTGAAGGCTTTTGCCCAAAACTTGAACTTTATCAAAATGGAAGTATACTAATGGGTATCCTGCCAAAAAAGAAGGGAAGAAAAGGTGGATAAGCAAAAGAAAACTGCATCATTACATTTCATGTAATTTTTATTTTACTGTTTAGTATCTTGGTGAAATTTTCTATGATTTGACCCTGCAAAATAAAAGACATTGTCTGTAGTGTGGTGGGTGAAAGATTTTATTAATACCTGACAAATGTGGAAAAATAAAGAAAACAGTTTTGCTATGTAGTGTTTCTACCTTTGCCCTCTTTTTGTCTTAATATTGTCTACATGTGTGATCCTTCAGGATATCTTTTAATATAGAGAAATGTTACTATGGCATTGCCTTAGTTTTATTCGAATTTGTACTGTTTCATGTTGCATAAAGTTTCTGGTAAGAATAAGAAATTGCTGAATTTTAAAACACATGAAGTTGTGAAAAGTGAGAAGCACAAGTAGTAAAAAAAAATGTTAATTGTTATAAAGCAAAAACATGGCACATATCATATAGCGAAAGACCACCAGGCCAATGTTTAACATAGGGTTTCTGATAAGAACGAAATTTTTGGTCGGATTTTGCTGATGGAAGCTTCTAAAACAGAAGTTTTGAAGGCAACTGCTGAAATTGGAACTATCAGTGAAATACGAAAACGTGTGTTAAGCTTATATCACTGTATATCATTTGCGTGCACGTGTTTATTTCAGCTTCAGCTATTAAGAAAGAAGTATCTGAATTAGGCCAATATGTTGGAGGATGTAATTAGTCACTTTTTATTTGCAGTTATGAACTTAGAGAAGACGAGGAAGAACAAATTGCACGCTTAGCTGAGGATGGCGATATTTATAATAAGCTTTCCAGATCATTAGCACCTGAAATTTTTGGGCATGAAGATATTAAAAAAGCTCTTCTTCTTCTCCTTGTGGGTGCTCCTCATCGGAAGTTGAAAGACGGGATGAAGGTAAATGCATGGACCAGAAATTCAAGTCAGCATTCCTCTAAAAATGATGATACTATTTTACAAGTTAAACTTAGTAGCTTGGCAGACTCAATATTGCTTGTCTTTTCAAAACTGCTTCAGTCAGATGAAGGTTGAAAGAAATTGTTTACAGAACTGATTTTTAAATAAACAAAATGGCAGATTACCTTTTTATGCTTTTGGAACCTTGATTCTTTTTGTTGTTCTAGACATTATTTGGTGGCAATTATTTCCTTTTATTTTGTGTCCAATAGTGAAATTTTGTGTTTCTCCTTTACCAATTGGTTCTCAGGTTCTATTGTGCGTTAAATAAGCTTCTGTTTCTGTGCTCTTATCAATTTTATTGATTGGACTGCGAAAGATTATGGGATTATTCTTGAAAATGCAGATTAGAGGAGACTTGCACATTTGTTTGATGGGTGATCCTGGGGTTGCAAAAAGCCAACTTCTTAAGCACATAATCAATGTTGCACCAAGGGGAGTGTACACAACGGGCAAAGGAAGCAGTGGAGTTGGTCTAACTGCTGCTGTTCAGAAAGATCCTGTGACAAATGAGATGGTCCTGGAAGGTGGAGCATTGGTGAGATTAATATTCTTTTCTTTTTGTGCATCAAATCCTTCCACACACTTGGTGTATTGCGAGATAGCACAGAGAATTGTGCATATGGTACTTTTGTTGTGCATATATAACTTGGATATCAAATTGTTTCTCAGTGAACTGTTTGAATCCACATGAATAGCTCAACCTTTAAAATTTGTTTTTTTCAAATCCAATCCCGTTATTCCAATTAGCTCATGGAATTCTGTGTTTCAACACTATTATAGGTGCTAGCAGATATGGGTATATGTGCCATTGACGAGTTTGACAAGATGGATGAATCAGATCGTACAGCTATACACGAAGTAATGGAGCAGCAGACAGTTAGCATTGCCAAGGCTGGGATCACCACATCTCTAAATGCAAGAACTGCCGTTCTTGCTGCTGCCAATCCAGCCTGGTAAAAATAATTCCCACATCTTGCCAAGTCATTTTCAGATGCTTATGAGCATCTGGTTTTGTTTCCTACTCTGTGTGTAAGCAGGCATATTGTTGCAAAACAAAACAAAAAAATTCTCTGTAAAATGAGGTGGTCTATGCCTAAGCGTTATGTTTTATTTCTATTAATAATTTGGGATGGACTATTTTTGTGTTGAAGGGGAAGATATGACCTTCGAAGAACTCCTGCTGAAAATATTAATCTCCCTCCTGCTCTTTTATCAAGATTTGATCTTCTGTGGCTGATATTAGATCGGGCAGATATGGATAGTGATCTTGAAATGGCTAGGCATGTTGTATATGTCCATCAGAAAAAAGAATCTCCTGCTCTTGGGTTCGCTCCTCTCGACCCATCTGTTCTTCGGTAAGCTCACAGTTCAATTTTTATTTTAAAAACAAATATTGGGATTATTTTGATTGGAAGTTGCTCCAGATTTATTTTTCATATTAAGTGGCTAATGGTTTAAACTTTAAAATTGTTGATCCTCTGCTTATGCTATATAATTTATGCCGATGAATGTTAAAGGACAGTCTTTTGCACATATCTCCATGGGTTTTTCGTTTACTGTGCTAGAACCTGCAATTGAAGGCAGTGTGTGTTTGGTTTAAATTATCCTTTGTTTATATTTGAAACTATATTAATTGTGTTTGTTTTGTATAACAAATGGATTTCCATAATGCGTACAGTTTCTGTAATATTTTTCAAAAGGATAATGATGCTTCTGCCAAACTCTCAAAATTCAGTAGCTCACTCCTCTGCAAGTAATTTTGTTATAACTCACCCAACAAACATAAAAAATCCTCCTCCCCACCCATGCCCCTTCCCCAGCCCCAATATTATGGATTGCACTTGGAGTACCTCGTCACAGTTTCTCCTTGTCTTCCAGGGCATATATTTCAGCCGCCAGAAAATTGTCTCCTTGTGTTCCAAGAGAGCTGGAGGAATATATTGCTACTGCATACTCCAGCATTCGGCAAGATGAAGCTAAATCAAATAGCCCACATTCCTATACAACAGTGAGAACTCTGCTCAGCATTCTCCGGATATCAGCTGTAAGTTATGATTTTCATTTGTTTTCTTGCTCATAATATATAGAAATATAGTAGGGTTTGGGATGTATGGAGAGGGCATATGATTAGTAGAGATGTCCGGCAGTTGGGTGTTAGACATCCTCAATTGGCCTTTGACCTGTCAGGTGGTATCTCATTGGTCTCTCAACCTAAATGCCACTGGAAGTCTCCTAAAAAAATGAACATCTTCAAACTCGTTGCATATTGGAGAGGGTCAGAAATATAATGTACAAATCAGGTTTTGATACATTGTTGGAATTAGTAACTGATCCGGTATTCGGGCTACATTAAGATGTAGAAACATGTGTAATTGTTATTATTATTTTTTTTCTTTCCCTAAATGAAGGAGTATATAAATATCAACAATATTGTACATAGGTCAAAGAGGAGGCATACCCCCACTTACACATCAAAGACCTTCCAAAGAAAAGGCCTTCAGAAAATAAAAGAACACACTATAAAAATAAGATTACATGATGTCCTGAAACTGGATCCCCAGTACATCTATAACCTCCCACAAAATACACTTAGCTAGTTCCCCAGGATCCCGGCACATATCATTGTGCAACCTCTCATTTCGCTCTCTCCAGAGAAAATATAAAACAGCAGTGAATAAAACCTTAGCTAACTTATTGCTTTTCCCTTGAAATCTTTGTGTAAAATGCATTGCCAATTGTTGGACCTCATACACCCTTTGTAAATTCCACCCACACATATCAGAAAACTGCATCCATACTTGCCAAGTATAATCACAACTACAAAAAAATATGATCCAGAGACTCCACGTTTCTGTAGCACAAATAGCATCTAGACACCATAGTAATCCCTCTGTGTTGCAAAAAATAATGATGTACAATAGCATTCTGTAGAACCAGCACCGAATGTGTAGACCACCTAGGACGGCCTCCACTCCAACAAATACTAGCCCAATTAACTTCTGGTTTACTACTTCTGCAGACCTCCCAAGCTTCTTTAAAACTAAAATTATTTTTCCAGCTGAGTTGATCCTCTCCTCCATATATATTGTGTTCATGAAACAGTTGTAAAACTTCCTGTGTAGCATTCCTCAATATGTCATCATTCCATTGATTACCAATCATAAACTCACTCAAAGCAACATTCTTGTTTCTACTGAGATTACCCAATATTCTATGATTGAACATATCACTCAAGCACTTTCCATCACACCATGGATCCAAGAACACCTTAATTTTCTGTCCATTTCCAATTATGTATCTGCACTGTCCTTTAAGACAGTCTCTTATAGCCACAATGCTCTTCCAAATATATGAGGAAGACTCCTTAGGAACAACATTCTAGAAAGAAGCCTTCTTTAAATATACCTGTTCAAACCATGCCACCCAAATTCTATCTTTAGACAACAAGAAATCCCAAGCTAAACAACATTTTGAAGCCTTGTCAATGTCCACCAGCCGTCTCAACCCCAATCCCCCTTCAGCTTTAGGAGCTGCTAACCTCTTCCAGCTAAGACCATGAATTTTCTTTCTGTCTTCCACATGTCACCAAATAAAGTTCCTCATTTTGTTCTCAATTAAGTTAATAATTGCTGCTGGAAGAGCATACACAGATGTCCAATACTGAACCATAGGAAGAATCACAGCTCTGCATAACTCTACTCTACCTGAAACTGATAAATTCATCCCATTCCATCTAGTTGTAGTAGAGATAATCTTCTCCACCAGACTGGAACAATCCCTACTCCTCAACATCTTATCAGAAATAGGCAAACCAAGGTAGATAAAAGGTAATTTACCTACCTTACATCCAAGAGTTCTAATAATGGTGGACTGTCTTCTAACTGTTCTTTTGAAAAACAATTCTGATTTCTCTTTACTAACTGCTAACCCCGAAGTGGTTTCAAATAATTCCAGAGATTTTTTCAAAGTAATAATTGTGGCCATATTAGCTCTAACCACCATCAAAAGATCATCAGCAAAAAATTGGTGAGTTAGAGGCATCCCAATCCTAGCTGCAGCCTCAGCAGGACACACCTTACCCCTCTTTACCTCAAAATCAATTATGCCAGAAAAATAATCTGTCACTAAGGTAAACAGGAGTGGGGATAGAGGGCATCCTTGTCTTAGACCCTGCTCTGGCTGAAAATAGCCTTGAGGAGAGCCATTCACAATGATTGAAAACCATACTGAAGTAAATACAAGTATGAATCCAACTAATCCATTTACTACCAGACCCAAACAGCTTCATCAACTGCACAAGAAAATTCCACTGTACTGTATCATAAGCTTTTCTGAGATCTATTTTCCATACTACTGTATGTTTAGCATGCTTTGATCTAAACCCCTTCAATAGTTCATGAGCCATAATGATATTATCTTGAATTTTCCTCTTGAATAAATGCAGTTTGTTTTTCCCCACAATTCTTTTCAACACTTGTGCAAGTCTGTTGGCAAGAATTTTGGCTATAACCTTATATAAAGTATACACAGAGATACAGGTCTAAAATCACTGACCTTCAAGGCCTCCTTCTGAATTAGTGTAAATGAATGAGCTATTAATACCCCTTCCCATCTCTGTAGTGAGGAAAAATTGTAACACAGCATCAGTAAAATCCTCACCCACAATACTCCAATACTGTTGGAAAAGCATAGCAGAAAAACCATCAGGTCCAGGAGCTCTATCTGGACCCATTGAGAATACAGTGCTTTGACTTCCTCCCTTGTAATATCCTCTTCCAACAGCAAAACCTCCTCTGCTACAAGAGTATTCCTGATATACTTTGCCTCTGGACAGCTAGCAACAGGATTAGAAATAGAGTATGCAGCCTTAAAATAGTCCACAAACATATTTTTTATCACTTGTGGATCAGTGATATCAATCCCAGCCTCTTGAATCACTGTGATATTATTGCTCTTCCTGTGTTGATTAATCTTTTGAAAGAAGAACTTTGTACACCTATCCTGATCTTTAACCCATTGGATTCTAGATTTCTGAGACAACAATAAAACTTCATTAGATGTAGCATTCTGCAAATTCAGCCTATCTTCATCCTCTTGCTTCATAATGTGCTCATTAAACAAGTCATTCTTTAATGATTGCTGAGTTATTGCAAGTTTCTTTCTGCTGAGTCATTGCAAGTTTCTTTCTGCAGCTAATAACCTCTTCAAACACAGATCCAAATTTGTCTTGATTCCATTGCTTCACTGCCTTCTTGGTCAATTTCAGCTTATACAACAGTTTCTTAACAAAATATATTTTTTTCTTGAAATTATCTAATTTGTTTTCAGGCATTGGCAAGACTCCGGTTCTCGGATAGCGTTGCACAGAGTGATGTGGACGAGGCTCTCAGGTTAATGCAGATGTCGAAGTTCTCTTTGTATTCAGATGATCGTCAGAAATCTGGCCTGGATGCTATCTCCGATATCTACTCAATCTTACGAGATGAAGCTGCAAGGACTGACAAGATGGACGTGAGCTATGCTCATGCACTTAACTGGATTTCAAGAAAGGTTAGTACCCGAAGAGTACTAATTTGGGACTGCTATAGGGAGACCCAAAGTTGAATTGAATTAGTGATATCTTAGTGTCTTTGTAACTGAATTTAAGGTCAGATCATCCAAAGGATGGTGTCCTGGTTCAGCTGCTCCACCTGGTCTATCTTATAATAAGAGTTAAGGGTGTAAATGCCAGTCAGACCTTGTTAAAGAATTCAAATAGTATTTTTGAGCCAAATAAGAAGTGAAGAGATTGGAGAATGTTCAGGCAAAGCATATAATCTACTCAGGCAATATCTTCTTTTTGTGAAAATATTGGTAGAAGTAACTAGCTAATACAGTGGAGGTGTTATTACAAACATCTCTCTTTCTTCTTAGTGGTATTGATTTTTCAACATGGATTACTGCAATTGTTTCCTTTCAAAGCATCCCCAAGCCCATCTGTAATGGTAAGAAAAGCACATCTTTATTTTTGTTGGGATGCGCATGAAACGATAACATAGAGGGTAGTTGAACAAGTAATGACGATAAAATTTTCATATATAATCCATTTCCGCTACTATAATCCGGTTCAGATCTTAGTTTTCCTTTGGTCATACACAAACCTCTATAACTAGTAAAGCATTGTTCCTAGTGATGGATTTCATTTGCTGTAGTCTCTGATAGTTTTGAGATGTGTGGTTCTGTACAGGGATACAGTGAAGCCCAGTTGAAAGAATGCTTAGAGGAATATGCAGCCTTGAACGTGTGGCAGATCCATCCAAACACCTTTGATATCCGGTTTATTGATGCTTGATTCATCTTTTCCCGTTGTAGATTGTCAGTCAGCATCGTATGTTAGCAGGTTGCCAGAGTGATCCTGCCCAATCAGTTTTTGGAGCTCATGTGTGGGAAGTTCATATCATTGCATTGCTAATGTTGTAATTCGATTTAACATAAGCTTCCTGATGTATGGGAAGTTTATTTATATACTTGTTTAATTAAACCTATTAAAGGTTTGATAAAAAAAAATTTGGTGCAAAAATGGTGTCATGAAGTGGTTGTAGTTGAGTTGAGTGATTATTGGTTTTGTTATCACCGAAATCATGATTTTTGGCTTAATTATACTGGCCTCCCTTGAGCAAGTTACACAATTTATTATTTTATAAGATTTGGTCAATAGATCCGTGGGAAAGAAAATGTCAAGGGTGTAAGGGTGTCTGCTACTTGTTAAACGTGTGTAATTTATATTTATTCAAATCTCATGGTGAGTGTAATTTATCTTTGATTTTTTTGAGATAAAATAGAAAGTAAAATCACATGTAATGGGTATGTTTTTTGTTTTTGTTTTCTGAATTGAAAATCCATGTAGACGAGTAATTTTTTAGTTTTTAAAATATCAAATTTTATTTTAGTTTCGTTTTGAAATGCAATTGCATAAATTGCCCATGATTACATTATAAATATATGTACAAGCCAAAGACCGTGGCAAGAAGGAAATATATTGATAAATCAACAATTAGTTATATCAGCGTGAGCCTTTTGCATTACTACGTCAGAAACCTCACAAAACCATCCTTTGCTCTCAAAGCGAAAACACCCAACTGAATGGCACCGCAATATGTTCGGTAAGAATGAAAGAAGAGGGGTGGAAGAAAAATAAAAAGGAAGAAATAAATTTCCTTTATTCGGTAGAAATAATATAAGAAAGAAAAATGATATTTCAATGGAAGTATCAACTCCCTAAGGCACTAATGTGACCTTCCATGAAGTCACGGAACTCAAGGAAAGGCGAATGAACAAACGAGAGTCAAAATAAGTAAAAACCGTTAATTAAGGGTAAAATGGTCAATTCACAATCAAAAGAAGAAAATTGACTCTAAACAAGTCAAACAAGGTGAATACAACCTAATCTAACTATTTCACAACATTCCAATAGATTCTAAGAATTTTAGACAAGAATCCCACAAAATACCCTTTTCCCGGTTCAAGTGAAAACTGACACTACCTCACTAAAATCTGAATAACTCCCACTGTGTTTTGAATTTGAGAGTGTAATTGGTACCATTGGAAAGTTGACTCAAAATCCATGAGTTTAGGCTCAAGAATCACCCCATTTGAGTTTGGATTGAAGGAGTTATGACCCTTTGAAGTTGGAACTTCAGTGCTGAAACATAATGTGGAAGATTGGCGTGTGAGGGCTGTTTCGATGGACCAAACTGGACATAAATTTGCTGAAAACATGTGCTTTTGAGAGGAGGTAGTTTCGGTAGACCGAAATGACCTTGAACAGTGAAAAAGGCTACTGGAATGGATGATTTACCGTGCAAAGAGTTTACCAAAAGCCATCGGTCGACTAAAATGGTGTTTCGATCGACCGAAACACCTCGAAAAGCTGCTGTAAGACCTGCTATATGCCAAAAACATTGAAGTTTAACCTAAGCCTCAAATCCCATGATCATTTGGTTCAAAAACAAAGTTTAAAACTGATTTTTCAATGAGATTTGAGTGTGTGAACATGTCAACAACCTTAATATGGATAAATGAATGTACTACAACAATTCATGGCCTTATATATATTGATTACAAGAATCTCATATGTCCAACCTCCAAAGTTGGTTAAAATACATTTTTTAAAGCAAAATATGATACTAATGAGTACAAGTGCTAAGTTAAACATGCTTAGCCCTTGGCCTCATCACACACACATCCAAAAAGTATCAAAAGATGCACTTAAGTGCACATTACATAGTTTGAACAATAAATACATGTTTTGACATAATAACCAAAATGAAGTATGATAGGCTAACAAGTGCATATTCTAATTCAACAAAATACTCTAAGTAGTCAAGTACGCCTAAGATTGTTGATCCCACAATAATACTTCTTTACTTGAAAATCACCCAGTAACTTCGAGGTGAGTAAACAAGTTTACTCGTAGGGAATGAGCATGCATAAGTTCAACTTATTACAAGGTTTGCAATTAATATAATTCAATCCATGCTATTAAAGTGACATTGAAACTTTCAACATAGCATAATGAGATGAAATTTCACTAAGTTATCAACTTGGAAATTAAATGCGAAATCAAACCAAAGTGGATACTTGGATATTGCCCGGATTAAAACCGTACTCTTAGGATCACTTTAGGGCTATTAACCCGTGGGTACCTTCCCTTAGTGCGCATTATAGTGTAGGGAGCTCTCTATCTCCGGTACTAGAACCAAGTCCTAGCTAAGTCAAGTTCTTGATAATATCCCAAGTTTCCAAAATCAACAAGTTGAGCAACAAGTCATAATATATCTTACAACCACAAAGGCTCCATGAATTAAATGACTAAATCATTAAAACAATGAGATAGAAATTAATTAAACTAATTAAGTAATTTCTCTAGATTTTAAGAGTTTTCCAAATGATTCCAATTTAATATATAACAAGTAGTAACTCATGGTTATGCCATATATCAAGTCAAAAATGGAACTTAAGCATGGTACAATTAAGTAGAATTTAAATCAATTTAAATTAACTAATTTTCTAGATTTAAAAGCTCATTTAAATCATGTCAAATTAATATACAACAAATCAAGTCATGGCCATGCCATATATTAAGTCTAAAGTAAATTATATGCAAGCTACCATTAGTCATTTATTTCTTAAATTAACATAGGACATGTATACAACTTGTATATCATTACAAGATCAATTAAATCACTTGGAAAATAAATTATAACACCCCCTACCTCAATAGAGAATAGAATCTCTATAATCCAAGACAACCAAGCTTAAAAATGAAAAACCAAACAAGGATTTTATAGAGGAGAGTAAGGGGAAACTAAAGTATTCCAAGTTTAATGGTTTTAGGTGAGTGGAAGGGCCTAAAATGAAGTCAAAGCTTTAAGTCAAGCTTTGCTCCAATGGTGGCTAAGTTTGGGTTCTTGAGAGGAAAGAGATGAATGAATTAAAATGCAAACCCTAAGCTAAATGTGGTGGGATTCTCCACTCACTAGGTGCTCTTACACTACCTCTCTCACACACACACACTAATGCAAGACCAATTGTGAAGCCTACACTTGTCATGAATCTAAGTAAACTTTCTAGATTTAATATTAAGCCTACACTTGTCAACCATCCATGCCAACAAGTGTTCTTATCCTAGGCCAACAAATGGGTGAATCTCCACCCTCCATGTGTCAAGAGATTAAGCCTCCAAATGGTTCCACCACAAAGTCAACAAGTGGCACCATGAGAGTGTGACACTTGTCACATTTTTCGAAAATTGTAAAAAAATCCTTTTTGAAAATATCTTTCAAATTAAATTGTAAAATGGTCCCTAAGACGAAAAAATATTACTTTACTCAATTTACAAAAACCCCTCAAGTTTAAAATAATTACCAAAAGGCTATGCATCCATACCCTTTACAAGAAAAGTAAACATTTAACATGTTTTTCTATAAAAGTAAAAATGTAGATATCGTGGAAATTAAATATCATGGATGCATACAAAGCCGGGATCAAATCCGAGCACAAAAAGTGAGATTATGCAAGGAAAAATGATAAACGAGAAAAAAACGAAATAGGGAAAAGACGAAAAAAAAAAATTACCGAAAAAAGAAAAAAGGAAAAATGACCGGGTCTTTATTCTTCGTTTTCTTTATTTAGTGAATTTCTTCAACTAGATATGTATCTTAATCTTGATACGTAAGTTATTTTAAATGAAAAATGCTAAATCAACTTGTATGTGTCACAGATTCCTTTCCACCTTGTCACCCGCTTGTGGGACACTTATCTTGCGGAAGGAGACGCATTGCCAAATTTTATTGTATACATATTTGCCAGTTTCCTTTTAACGGTATGCTCTCAAGTTAGTTGTGCTGATATTCTTGGTCAAAGGAGAAGCAAATAATTTTCCCTGCTAAGAACACCTGCTTTTGGTATAAGTGGTAATTATTTAGTTTAATCCCTGTTAATTGAGTGTGCTGGGATGGACGAATTTATGCATTATTTGCAAAAAAATCAGACTCAAAAATAATTATGATATTCCTTGCTAATTTTCGGCAATACCAGGTTGATCCTACAACTGGTGAGGCTGAGGAAGATGGTGTTGAAGACGAGTACCAGCTGGAGGACCTTAAGGTTGTTGCAGCTGATTACATATTAAAAGTTGGAGTCTCGAATTTCAGGAATGCTTGGGAAAGCATGGGCCCAGATTTTGAGCAGGTAGATGAGTATGGTCTTGGTCCTTGGGAAAGCTTGGCAGAAGCTGTGAGTGCTGTCATTGGTCTTCTTGGCATGCAACCCTGAAGATGAAGGGCAACAAACACATCAAATTGTGCTGTTTTTCATCGACATTCCACGGTGATCAACAACAAGCACATCACCGTTCTTTCTCAAATTTAACAAAGAACATCAAACACATCAAAACCGTGCTGTCTTTCTCAAATTCCACAAAGAACAATAAACATATCAAAATCATGTCCTTTTTTCCTTGCGATTCAACAAGTTTGAAGAATAACAGTTCGAGATCAAGTTTCGTCAGTCCTTAATCAGAAATCATCGGCGATCTTCTTCAACTACAAATACTTGAAGAAGATTGTCAACAGCCTGATTCAAGATTAAGCTCCAACAGCCCTTGGACCCAACCAATAAAGGAGATTGAATCAGAGGATATTTTTTTTTTTTAATTTTGTAAGGAATATCTCAGGAGATTGTATTCAATTTTCATAAATCAATAAATTATTATTTGCTCCCTATTTTTTGCAGACTACAAAATTTGTGTATACAACGATGACTCTGTACTAAATGCCACCGACGCTCTCTGTGCTAAATGCCACCGAAGCTCTCTGTTAAACTTTTGTTCCTATCACCTTTCCTCCCTCTAAAGTCTAACATTGGGTAAGCACGTTACTAAACGCACCCAAATAGATCCTTTGTTAGAAAAATTACTGGGATAAAAATGTTTATTTTGATTTGATTATCTTAAAGACTTCTTAAAGTATATCATTTGTAATGGTAAGTTTGTTTTTTCATATTTTAGATTAAACTAAATATCAAAATATCTTTAATTGCAATAAATTCATACTTCAAGGCGCACGAATGCGTCTGAAACGGAAAGGGAAAGGGGAAATGGAAGTGGAAGTGGAAAGAGGAAAGAGGAAAGAGACAATTAAAGAGAAAGAGAGAATTAAAGAGAACGAGACAATTCAGCTGTTTGTGAAGGCATTGTGCAGTCTGAAATGCAACATGGTGTTGAATGCTTCGGT